AAAAAAAAAAAAAAAAAAAAAAAAAAAAAAAAAAAAAAAAAAAAAAAAAAAAAAAAAAAAAAAAAAAAAAAAGAGAAAAAGAAAAAAGAGAAGTCTTGGGGGAAGCTGTTGAAAACAACACGAAAATCTTATTTCTTCAGTTAGCTCTTCACCCCAGAGGTTCCCCACAGACAGACTACTTCATACTCCTTTTGGCTGTTTGTTACCTGCAAGGTTCTCTAGACTAAAAGTAAGGGCTTTCTGAAATGTAACTACTAGTTAGCATCTTGGCATTATAACAGAATAACAGGCTCTGTGAAAGCTTACTTAGGGAGTCCAAAGAAAGAAGTTTAGGCTCTAAAACAAGTTCTGCTTTGAGAATGTTAGAGTTTATCTTAGCATATGGACATTGCATTAGGCAAACAACACTCTTAAGACAAACTCATGAAAATGTGAGTGTGCTTGCCAAGATTTTCTGCTTTAGTTTTAGGATGACTCTTTCTTCCATGATGTAAAATGAAAATTTCACTTGGAATAGCTGATGCAAATTCATTCTCTGAATACCATAAGTTGCTAGCTGGGTTCAGAATGGGCATCTTAATCAAGAGCCTAGTGATTTCTGCCTATTTGGATTTTAGACATCTCACAGTCCAATCTCTGAATTAGGGTATTCACAGAAGAACTATTTAAGAGTCTCACATGCATCTGGTTTACTTTATCTACAAGCAGCACAGAACAAATTTTAGATGAATAATTCTTAACAAAACAGCAACAGAAAATTTTGATGAAGATTTGATTCCTATCTGTGACCCTGTGATGATATAGAAAAAGGATGCTTATTCCAACATCAATTTAAATAATTGTAGGAGCTGTCCCTTCTTTTATCCACATAATTTAAACGGATGAAGAGACTTGTTAACCAAGAAGAAAGTGTGTTAAAAACCTGTTTCCACATTTTCTCACATTATACATCACAGAAGACAAGTTACATGATTGTCACTTTACCATGAATCATGCTGTTTCTCTTCTAAGCATTCAAAGCTATAAACACTTAAAGCACCAACAAGTATTGCAACCAAACTCATTATCAGTTTTGTAATAACACAGACTTGCAGCAGTGCCCCTTCAAAGATGAAGCAGTAAATTGATGGGCACAGAAGTTAGTTGCAAAAAGAGGAGCAGAACAGCTCAGTTACGGAGCAATGCATGTTCATACCACAAAATTAGGCGTTATTATATTGAAGCAGTTATTTCAGAACTAGAGAGACTCAGCGTATTGCTGCAACCCTATCACTAATGAAAAGTAGGTAGGCCCTTGTAACACTTAGGGATTTGGCAACTCTGAAGTTATAGAAGACTCCAGACTATGGGACTAATCATCACTCATAGCCTGCCTCAATCTCCTGTTCGGCTCCTTACAAATACAAACACCGCCCTCGGAGTGTCAGCTGAATACACAAAGATTGAAAGCTGATGAACCTAAACATGAATGTAAAATTTCAAAAGACAGTTTATGATTAAGGTGGTTAACTATTTAGCAACATTTCTAAATCCTACCTGCTAATCCACTGTAGCTCCTATAGCTGTAGAAGCTACAAGTACTGTCACTGCTCCTCTCTCAAACACTTAAAAGTATTTTCCTTTTGATTTAACTTAAAAAGGCATTTTAAGGCCACATAACATAGGGTACTGTTTGTGTCTTCCACATGGACAGGCTCTTTAGGCTTATTGCGTAATGGTAAGCACATTAACGTATGAGTGATGTTTGTGCTATGGTTGTGTGGAGGTACCCTCATACAAGAGAGAAGTTATCAGTTTTGCAAGAAATCATAGAAGGCACATTAGGATTCAAATTTAAGCTACAACTACATACCTTTTTGGAAGCTTCAGGGTGCAGAACCTGCCTAATGTGCAACTGTCCATCGGTACAGAAACAGAAGGAAGTACCTACACCAATGTTCAGCTCATTGCTCACAGACTGATTAAACTGTAGGCAGGAACAAGAAAAGACGTACATGTTAAAGAGATCAGAATAGCTGCACTAAGCAGTGTCATCAGTTGGTAACATGTTATTCCTGGGGAGCAGGAACATGGAGCTAGAATTCCTTTTTGCATAAGCCTTCTACTTCACTTCCGTATGTTTGTTTCTTACTAGCTCAGCACATACTAACTTTCATAATTATCTTCACTGGAAACCACCCCTTTTCCCCTTTCTAAGGAAATATGCTACACAGTTAGTTCACATCACAGAAAACAAAACACAACACCTTTTTGAGAAACATTTGCAAAAGCACTGCAATGAGACATAAAGCTGGTCGCAGAGAGCTGAGGCAGTCCTGGGACAGAAGAGCTTTTCAAACAGGGTAGTCAAGCATGTTGGAGGAGACAGCTTGTCAGCCCTACCCTCAATAGAAATCACGCACACCTCCGTGTTAATCTAGGGGCTTTGGTACTGTCACCTTCCCAGGAGGAAGCACAAGCTCTGACAGGGCCTGCCACCACCCAGCCTTTTCGGGGGACACCTAAACTTGGCTTCTTGCAACACTGATTGGGGCTCACCCTCAGGTGAGACCCACTCAGGGTCCAGCAACAGGAGAACAGGGTAGGGGAATATCTGACCCTGACCTTCCTCACTTGGGGGTCAGTCCTCACAAGTTGAATGAGCAAAAAGCAAGGAAGAGATATCCACAAAGCCCTCCCCATATAAGCTGCCTAGCCCACACAGATCAGTGGTATTCCTGTGCCAGGTTCCACTGTCCTGACAGTGGGGTGGAAAGCATAAGTAGATGATAACACTGCCTCTATCCCACGGGTGAGCTCCCAAGGGAGATCAGCACTTAGCAGCCAGTTATGGGATATCACCTGTCTCAGTGCCTGCTCCAGCGGTGGAGCCAGTGCCAGGCTCTCCACATCCACCTGGGTGATCTCCTGGCACTCAGCCGTCAGCTCCGGGTGGTCAGGCCGGACCAGCACGTCATGCAGGTGCCCCAGCTCCAGAGAAAGCAGAGGAGGGGTGGGTCAGCTCCCCGGGCTGGGGGTCCTCACCTGCAGCACCAGCCCCTGCCCTCCACCAGAGCCTGCTCCAGCCTGGACCACCCATTACCAGCCCAGCGCTGAGACCACCCTACCCGCACCCAGCATGGCAAGGGCCAAGGGGAGCAGCAGGTCGGGGTGCTCCCCTCTCGGGTGAAAATACCTCCTTACTCCTCAGGTCGACCACTTTCCATAGGAGCTGGAGCAGCTCTCGCTCGTCTGAGCCCAGCCTTGCCCCGTTGGTGCCCGCCGTGGTCACAAAGAGTATCACCAGATAGTCGGGAGATGCCGTCATGGTGCCACAGGGTCAGCGGAGAGGATAAAAAGGAGAGAAAGAAAGAAGAGAGAGAAAGAAAAAGGAGGAAAAGGGGACGAGAAGAGAGCGGAAACTTTCCCTGCCCGAGGCGTTTCCAAGCGAGACCCAAGCGGCAGAGCCCCCACCTGCAGCCTCGCTCCCCGAGGACCTGGCAAGGGGGAGGCGCACGGCTCCCCCCCCCTTTCCCACCCCCTTTCTCCCGAGGCGGGCGGCGGCCGCTCCCACGCCAACTGCACCCTTGGGAAGCGCGCAATGGCTGCGAGCTTTTCAGCGCGGGGCCGCGGCACCACCTGCCCACCCCGGCCCACGTGGTGCAGGTAACACACACCTGGCGCCGCCGCCCATTGGCCTCGCCGGGCGGGGACGTGGCAGCGCGGCGGGGGCGGCAGCGGCAACGGGGGCCGGGATTGCGGGCGGGACGCCCAGCGCGGGGCCGGGATTGCGGGCGGCGCGGCGGTAGAGGAGCCGGCCCCGACGGCGGCCCAGACCCTGCCGGGCTCCGCCTCTCGCCGTCGGGGCGCGCTGCCCGGGAAGGTCCGGCTCCTCACCGGCGGGGCGGCTGGGAGGGGCTGCCCGCTCCTGCCGGAACATGTCGCGGAGGGCAGGTCGGTCCTGCGTCCGCGAGCAGCCTCGTCCCCGGACGAAAGGGGAGGGGAGATGGCCACTCCGCCCGCAGCCGCTCCGGCTGGTCTCCCCTCTCGGTCGGGGGCCGCAGGGGCCGGGAGCGGGGCCGGGGAGCACTGTCGTGGCGTGCGGGCCGGCTGTCCCCGGGAGCAGCGCTCAGGGAGCCGAGGGATCAGGGCGGTGGAGCCTCTTCCTCTGTCGTTCTCAAGGCAGCGGCATCGCAACGTGTGCGCGGCTCGGGCACGGCGGATTGAGCGGTGTGTTAAGAGCTGGCTGGTGAGGCTGTTGCAGCCTTCCCTCCGTGGGCTGGTGATTTTGGCCCTTGTGACAACCTCACTTCTGCTGATCGCTGTTCCGCGGTGAAATACCTGTTTTAAATGTGTAATGCTCAAAACCAGACTTTTTCATGAAAAATCACTGAAGGCACGGTAAACGAGTAACACTAACTTTCCTCAGGGAAATTCTGTTGTACACCTGATTCTTTAGGATCCCAGTTATTTATTTCCAATGTCATTGCGATGCTGCTTTTTGAAATTTTTACTGAGATTATAGAATCTTAGAATATACTGAGTTAGAAGGGACCCATTAAGATCATCAGGTCCAACTCCTGGCCCTGCTCAGGAAACCTCAAGAATCACACCACGTGCCTGAGAGCATTGTCCAAATGCTTCTTGAACTCAGGCAGGCTTGGTGCTGGGACCACTTCCCTGGGGAATCTGTTCCAGTCCTCAGCCATCCTCTGGGTGAAAAACCTCTTCCTGATATCCAGCCTAAACCTCCCTTGACTCAGCTTCATGCTATTTCCTTGAGTCCTGTTACTGGTCATGAAAGTGATCAGTACCTACTACTTCCACTTGTGAGGATGTTGAAGACAACAGTAAGGTCTCCCTTCAGTCTCTTCTCCAGGCTGAACAAACCAAGTGACCTCAGCCATTCGTCATATGGCTTCCCCTCAAAGCCCTTCACCATTCTCGTAGCCCTGCTTTGGATGTCTTTTTTATATTGTGTTGCCCCAAACTGCTCACAATATTCAAGGTGAGGCCACACCAAGTGCAGAGCAGAGTGGGGCAATCCCCTGCCTCGCCTGGCTGGTGACACTTTGCCTGATGCCCCCCTGGCTACCAGGGCACTGCTGACTCATATTCAACTTGCCATTGACCATGGCACTGGTCTCCAGCCTCCTGTTCCCCAGTCTGTACACACAACCAGGGTTGCCACATCCCATGTGCAGAATCCAGCACTTGCCCTTGTTAAACTTCATGTGATTGGTGATTGCCCATCTCTGTAATTTGTTGAGGTTTCTTTGCAGAACTTCCCTGCCCTTGAGGGAGTTGGCAGGTCCTCCCAATTTGGTGTGTCGGCAAACTTACGTAGTATTCCTTTGAGTCCTTCATCCAAGTCATTTATGAAGGTGTTAAAGAGAACTGGGCTGAGGATGATGCCCTGTGGAACCCCACTGGTGACTGGACGCAAGCCCCATTCACTGTAACTCTTTGTGCCCGACCTGTGAGCCAGTTGCTCACCCATGGTGTAACATGGTTATCCAGCTGTGTGCTGGACATTTTGATGATGGTGTGTATTGTGTGTGTCTTCATTACCATTCCTTGTGCTGGTGCAGGTTCACAGCTTGCACCACCTTTTATTAATGCATACGCATTTGCTTGGTAGGAAGGGAGCAGATGTTTCACCACTGCTGGGGATCCTGTCAGCCACTGACTCCTCCCCATAGCGCCCAGCATCCTCATCCTGCCCTGCTGCAGATTGGTGCAGCCTGGTTCTCCTTGCGGGACTGTGACCAAATTCCTGCTTGGTAGTTCATGTGCTTCAACAGACAGCAGGACACAATGGGGTGATTTTTACTCTCTCTGGTACAAGATTTCAAAAATGGCATGCACTGTTAGCAGAGACTACAATTTGAGGGTTAAGATATCAAATTAATCCCTCCAGGTTTTTAAAGTGTAGTTGAAATTGGCCATGTGAATCTGGCATCATGAAACACCTGAGCTAATTGTGCCCCATTTGTTGGAGGGTTAGAGCACCTGGGTTTCTTTGTGCATTTTACTTCTGATGCATCGAGTAAAACATATGTGAAGGAGAGGACTGGGGTGTGTGTCCTCAGCAGTGGCTGCAGCTGATCTCTACTCAGCATCTGAGGAGTGGGGTTGGTCCTCACACAAAGAGTTTGCTTTGTGACCTCTGCCTAGCCTGGAGAAGAGGGATTTCTTTGTGCAAGGTATAAGATTTCTTTGTGCAGTTTCCATTTCAGGTCTTAGTTCAGTGCAACTTCTTAAATCTTTATAGTTTTGTACAAAAGACCAGAAGGACATTTTTTAAATGATTCTACATTGGAGCACGCCAGACAAAGAGTCCCCTCTCCTTGTCTTTCAGTGAAACTTAATCATTCGTTCTAGGAAGTTTCCTTCCTGATGCCTGCTTGGCTTTTGAGATGCAGCTCTTGTCATTGTGAGAATGATTTTTGGATGGACACCCGTTTCTATACTTGTGATTTTTGTGATTTGTTGTGTTCTGCTTACATATATCTTTTTTTCTTCTCTTTTATACCTGATTGTCTTATCCTATCTTGTCTCTTTCCATCTAGGAGCATGAGACTCCCCAACCTATTACTAGGGCAGGCTGCATGATGTATTTCACTCTTTTTCAAAGGTTAAACTGTACCCTGAAAGTATTTTTAATTCCCATTATGTCTGTTGGGTTCTTGACTAATCCTTGTTTTATTTATTTAGGCAGCTGCTCACCACTAATTGTTACTGTAGTGCCATTACCTTTTATTTTTCTCTTTCTTTTCTCTTTTATTTTTCTCTTCTTTTTCTCTCCAGTTTTACAGTTACAGTTCCCATTCCACCCCCTCTCTTGCATGCTTGCAGCACCTGGTCTGACAACATGCACCAGTTGGTTAGGTTCCTGTGTTGTGTTGCTCAGGCTCCAGGCATTTGTGTGCTCCCATTCCAGTTGCTTCTCCCTGGCTGTTCCTTGTCCCAGGACTGGTTAAACATAGTCTTTACATGAAGTGTGACCTTCCAGATGACATCAGTGTTGATACCTACAGGAAGGTACTAAGGTGTTTTGGGGCACGACGACCTCTCAAGGCTCCTCCCAGCACCTTGTTGCTGTACTTCTCTCCTCTGGTATGCCTTCTGTTTCCCATCTGCTGTCCATCTGACCAGCCCCTTTGCTAATCCCAATGTAACTGTTTCTCTGTCCATTTTGTATTAGTTCTGGTGGTTTCTCATCACACATTGTTTTGTTCCACTTTCTATTTCAGGACATTTCTGAAACTACTCACACTTTCCTTCTTGCCAAGGAGCTGGTCCTAACATCTCCTCCTGAACACTGCAAGAGACTCACAGGCCTGCTCACTTATTTCCCACATTTTCCTGAAGCTTCCCTCTCTCACCCATTGATCCCCTTCTTCCCAGATTGTTTGAATAAACCTGTAACTTTGCACATTTAACTGTGTCCAGTTTTTTTCTGCTGGTTCTGCATCTCCCACCCTCCTCTACAGGAGGGTCTTCAGCCAAATGCTACCTGCAGCTCTTTTATCCTTTCCTGCACAGACCTTCGGTCTGTGCCAAGTGTCCCACCTGTATCACTCTTCCCCATTAGTGCCCTAGTTTTCTTTCAGAATATAAACTTTTTAAAACTGAAACTGGGGAATCATCTATATCATGTTTTTAGAACATGCTAATGTTTACAACCAGTTGTGTTCTTTTTTTAATGTCTCCAAGATAACTGCTGCTCCTAATGAAATTCTGTTTTCTCTACTTTCACTAGTGGAGAAAATACCCCAAAAATACCCACATTGTTTCCTGATACTGTGCTACTGGGTGTGACATTCAAACCTTGCACAAGGAAATACCACTGACCTGTAAGCCCAGCCATTTGCTGAAATCAATGACACTGCATTCACAGCCATCTGAATTTAATCCTGCAAAGCTGATTCTTCTCACATCCAGAGCTGCAGCTGTTACCAGCAGTGAGGGAGTCACTGCAGATAAAAACACAGGGCTGGAATTCCTCTGCCGGTTACTGAAAACAGCTCCTGCTAGCTGACCTGGTTGCAATGCTGTTCCAGGCTGTCCCAGGAGAGAAGTCATCTGACTGGGGCTGCGCTCCTCTGGTGCAATGGCACACATGATGATGATCATGTTTGGAGTAGATCTACAAAGCTAGTCTCCCACAGAAGTCTCCAGAGAACTCATAAACATAACCAAAATAAGCTGTGGTAAGTGCCACAAGGCATTGTGCTACTAATATACATCTAGAGAATTTTTTGTTTTCTACATTAGTATATATATATATATATATATATATATATATATATATATATATATATATATATATATATATATTTTACTTCAGGAGTTTAGATCTGGTTGTTAATCAGTGTAAGAGAGGGTTCCAGCTTGGGGCAAGAATTTGTAGTCAAATCTGCCAGCATGGCCCCTGATTCTCAAATTCTGAAATATTTCTGTGAAGGGATTTGCAATATTTCAACTACATCTACTGAAATGGTATGAGACAGTACTATGTTTTCAGTGTATTGAAAAGAAGTTTTAGTTGATGAGTCTCCCTGCACT